AGAGAGAAAGAGAAAGAGAGGAAGAGAGAGAGAGAGAGCACATTTGCATGAGCTTGTCAGCTTGTCAGGTAACCAAGCAGGCAAAGAGAGAGAGAGAACACATGTTATGTCCTTCCAGCTCTGGCCTCACTGATTGAGAAGTGCTCTGATGACAACAAGGACTGCAGTTCCTATGGCAGCTTCAGTGACGCTGTGCTGGAGCTCTTTAAGCTCACCATAGGCCTGGGAGATCTGAAAATCCAGCAGAACTCCACTTACCCCATCCTCTTTCTGTTCCTGCTCATCACTTATGTCATCCTCACCTTCGTCCTCCTCCTGAACATGCTCATTGCGCTCATGGGGGAGACCGTGGAGAACGTCTCCAAGGAGAGTGAGCGCATCTGGCGCTTGCAGGTGAGCTAGGCACAGGGACTTGGTTTGGCACATGGTCATGGAGGACTATCAGGCTGGCAGGTGGGGGTAGGGCCTGGGGGTTTGCATAAGCCATTTATTCTTTTGGTACAGGGTCTAGGATGTGTGAGAGAAACCCAGGCTTATGGGGATGTTCTGCTCTTCCTTAACTGTGATACATGAATGCTGAAAGGTGACTTTAGGTTGCATGCATGATGAGGGGTTGGGCTTAGGACAATGAAAACAACAATTCTGCTCTGCTCTACCCTGGTCATAACACTGCTTATCCTCTGAGAACACAATCTGTGGGATGGTCCAGACATGGTGACTAGGGTTGGGAGAGGACTGGAGACTATGTTTCACAAGAAATGGTTGTTGGAATTACGAAGGGAAAGATTCCTTCACATATATGCAAGGGCTACCTGTGAAAGAAGGATCAGCCCCATTCTGTGGCTCCAAGAGGCTGAACTAAAGTACATGGGTGAATACATGGAGAAAGTTCTGATTTAGCACAAGACATTTTCTCACTGTTAAATCTTCTTAATTGGATTGTGGATAATATTCAGGGGAGACTGGAAGAATTTTGGCCAGGAGAACTTCTAGGGAAATTGCAGTCCTGGAAGGGGATGTGAGACTAGGTGACGTCTGAACTCCTACCTATGGTGGGATTTCAGGACCTTAACATTTCCATTAGGAGACCCCTGGACTTTCAGAGACATCATGTCATGCTTAACAATTACAACATCTTTCTCAAATTTCTGCCATTTCATTTTTGAATTCTGTAGAGTGGGTGAGTGCTCAGGATCTATCATTATGCATCCAACTTGGGTGGAGGGTCTGTTTGATGGTGTGTGTGTGTGTGTGTGTGTGTGTGTGTGTGTGTGTGTGTATGCAACAGAGCTGAGCCCTCAGGGCTGGCTTGGATCAAGCAGCTTAGGCTGGTTTATGTCCCCAGAGAGCCAGGACAATCTTGGAGTTTGAGAAGATGTTACCAGAATGGCTGAGGAGCAGATTTCGCATGGGAGAGCTGTGCAAAGTAGCAGAGGATGACTTCCGGCTGTGTTTGAGGTAACAAACAGGAAGGGCCCTCTGGTGGCAGCCTTTGGGGTGGGCAAAGGGACAAGTCAGCTAGCATGATGTCAGAGAGATGGAGCTGCCATTTATTTGCCATGACCACTCTGCTTCTCCCCTGACCTCCTCAAAAGATGAAATTTGCTCTTATAGGGCCTGTGCCTGGGATAAGGGTTCTTGAGCTTCAGAAGTGTGAGGGGAGACTGCCACTAGTGGGGCCTTTCTCTGCTCTTTTGGAGCTGCCTCTATAACTGTCCCTGTCTAGTTTCTGGCATAGGAACGTTTTGCCAACCTGATAGTCTTTGTCCTTCTGTCTACCCTGTGTTGGTTTCATTCTGTGTGCATTCCTATGACGCTGGGGGATCCGGGGCATGTTTATCACAACCAGATAGAAAGTGAAACAGTTGTGATCCATAGATTTCAAGTTTTTTGATTTTTAAAAAAGTGTTCAACCACTCTAGGTATACGCTTTTTAAAGAGCACTCCTCTTCCTTCTTCCTACCTGAATACCTAGTCTTACAGATGCTCTCTTTTGAGAACAACTTAAGAAGTCTTAGTCTCCTTATCTGTTATTCCCACCCCTGGAAACCATCACTTCTAACTGTAATGTGTATTCTAACAAAAGCACCTGATTTGGATTCTTTTACTCTAGAGATGATCCTTTAGTATAAACTTGAGCAAACTAATGTTTCCATCTGTGCTTTTAACACTGTAGACACTGCCTGCTAGCACTGGGGCATTAAGCCCAAACACCTTGCAGTGCACCTTTAGTCCTGGCTGAACTTCCACTGATTTAACCCTCGTGGCTTCTCAGGCCATGCCCTTCCTGTGTACAATGCTTCTTCCCCATGGGTCCCTGTCACCAGTCAGGCACAGCTGCTGATGTCTGAAGACGTACCTTTCACACCTGTCTAAGCAACTTTCAGAATTTCTAGGTCCTGGGCATGGGTCTACATGACATGTGAACTTCCTCTTACAGTGGAAGAACTCATCCTTTCAAGTGGGAAGTGAGGGGTTGGATGAGTTTCACACCCTCATGGTTCTGGTATGACTGCAGGGCAGGAACGTTCCAACTCTGGGACACACAGATGGGGAGCCAGGTAGACTGAGACATCAGCATGCAGTGCTAGGATTTGTTTGTACTTAATGTTTGTACTTGTGAAGTAGTGAGAACAGTGATCACCTTGCAGGATCAATGAGGTGAAGTGGACCGAATGGAAAACACATGTCTCCTTCCTCAATGAAGATCCAGGTCCCATCAGGCGGACAGGTATTACTGTTGTGAGGCACTGTGGGATCTGTACCTGTTTGGCCGTGTGACCCTGTGCAAATCAAGTCAGAGGGCCCTGGGTTTTGCCCATCTGTGAAATGGGAATGTTGAATTAAACTGGTTCTTAGGTCTCTTCCACCTCAAATATTTTATAATCTTAGTTGGGGCAACCTTGAAGCTTTAAGTGGTGGGGCCTGGGGTTATAGCTCTGTAGTAAACCATGTGCTAATTTTATGTGAGGTCTTAAGTTCCAATCTCAGCACCACTGCCAAAAATAAAAATTACTTTAACATGTGGAAATATGGAGTGCAGAGCGATGCACTTCTAAAATTTTTCTTTCTTTCTTTTTTTTTTTTTTAAAGTAGATTTCAACAAAATTCAAGATTCTTCTAGGAGCAACAGCAAAACAACTCTCAATGCATTTGAGGAAATTGATGAGTTTCCAGAAACTTCGGTGTAGAAGCAGAACCCAGAGCTGATGCGAGAGTGAGCTGTCTGATGCAGCAGGCAGAGTCCTTCCTGAACTCTGTGCTGAGGGCCTGACTGTGCAGAGTGGTGGTCTGGAAGCAGGCACCACCTTCATGTTAAGCAGACAGCTGTACCCAAAGGCAGCTGTCAGTGTTTGAGAGGGAGACACTTTGAGTTCTCTTACTCAGCAGAATTAGTGTAAACCCCTGGTCAATAGTCCTGAGTACGGGAGTTTCCTAAAGTCCCAGTTGAAATCCTTGGCTTGACCAGTTGCTGATTGGTTTTACTGGGGTGAGATAGGTGTTGGAGGAGGAGCCTCAGATGGGGGGAAGGCAATTTTTACCTCTTGCCAGGGTCTCCTTGTCAGCCAAACTCCAGCCCACAGTTTTCCTTGTTTCCCTTGTTGTGCTGGGCCTCCTGAATTCGGGGGAGAATTTTGATCCCACCCTAGGATGTGCAGAGGATGATGAGCCAAGCTGGACATCCTGGGGGAGGAGGGGTGTGCTATGGAAATGTCCTTCCAGAATTTTCAGAAAACAGGAAACCACCCTTGGAATGAAACCCAAGGCTCTAACTGTCTCAAACTGAGAGAAGTTTTTTAGTAGCATAATTTAGCATAGGTTTTTAATTTTTAATAGACAAGACATTTCACTTTTGAATGAAAATTACTTCAGATGAAGTAGGTGGTTTTAAAAGCTGAGAAATAGATCTTGGGCTTTTGGGCTGGATGTAAGTATTATATACTTAGCTGTAGAGTAGCCAGAGCAAGGACTAAGAGCTTTTTTCATGTTTATGCAAGTCTACAGGAGACAAGCTGCCATCTGGGTGAAAGGGCTTTGGCTCCCTTCCACCTCCCGCCTTGTCATAGTGTGGGCCTCTGAGCTGGGATTGTAGCTTCATCTGAAAGAGAAATAGCAGTCAGTCTTTGTGGTCTTCATCTCAGGGTTGATCAGCATACATTAATATTTCTCACTGGCGGAATGTTAGCAAAATATCTGACCTGCTCTGGTACCAAGCATTTTTTTTTTTAAACTGTGAATTTTGAAGCTGAAGGAAAGACTTATGAGAGACAGACTTTTGCCAAGACTTAGAGCTTATTTTTAGATCCTCATCCTGAGGTTTTCTGCCTGGTGAAATTCCACAGATTCAGTTTGGGGGCAGAGGCACAGTGAAGATAGAGGAAATTTTTTAGAACCCAAAAAACAAACAAACAAACAATGTACTATCTTTTGGTATCTTAATGAAAGGATCCATGTGGGAAAATTTGAGGTATAATTATTGAGATAGTCACCATGAATTTTAAATTTAAGTGGCAGAAAAATAAATAGGGCCTTTAGATGACTTGGCAGTTGGTGAGGTAATCTGACTTGAGGCAAACCTGAGCCCAGGCCAAGTAAGCAGTGCACTCTGGGTTCCTTTCCCCACTCTGGGCTGCTTTGTATGTCAGCTTAGCTAGATGAGTAGAAACTTGGCCTGTATGTCCCTGCTGGGCCAGGTTGGGGTGAAGGTGGGGCGATGGTGCAGTCCTGAGAACAGCCTTGTCTGTATCAACCCTTGCCTGTTTAGCTTCCTGGAGAGTCACTAGGCCTCTCCGTGATGTGGTCAGACCACGTTCAGATGTGAGCAGAGATTTTAGGGAGATGTCATGGGAGCAAAAGGGTCAGATGTGTTCCAGATGGGCAGAACTAGTAAAAGAACTAGACATATATCTTGGTTCAACTCAGTTTCCAGCTGCTCCAGAGATTGGAGATATTTAAGCAGAAGATGGGTGAACACTTATGTGAGATGTTGTTGAAGAACATCTGGATAAATTTCAGGGAGTGGAGAGATGGCTCAGTGGTCTAAAGCACCTACTTGGAACAAACTTGGCAAAGCATAAGGACCGCAGTTCGATCCCCCAGCACCACATGCCAGCCAGCCCCGCCCCCTGGTGGGCTGAGCTGGCCACACACACACACACACACACACACACACACACATAAATGTAAAAAAAAAATAAATAAATTTCAAGGTCCTCTTTGGCCTAGGGATTGTGCAAATCATTATTCCTTAGCTGGTATTATCTCCTTACATTTATCCTGGACACAAGTCCTGGGTTGAAGGGCAGCCGTTTGGGTCCATGATGCTGTATACTGCATCCAGGAATTCCAGAATTGCTTTGATTGCGATATTAACAGAGAAAGCCACAGGATTCTCCATTTTCCACTTGGATAAAAGCTGGGAGGTTAGGCAAATAAAGATTAGTAACTGGACCTTCTCACATATTATGCAGAGCTGCTGTCTGTGTGTGGTCTGACATTTTTGTTGCCAAGACTGTTTTCTATACTGGACAGTTTTCTCAACAGTGGCGTTCCTCAAGCCTAGAAAGCTTAACCCTACATAGATTTACTAAGGGAGAGAAGCAGTGAATCAAAAGCATCCTACTCAAAAGGACTAATTCCTTTATTGTATATTTAGAGACTGAAGCTCTGAAAGGAACACAGGCTTATTCAAAGGCATGGAGGAAGTCATGTAAGAGCAGTTGAGGCCAGAACATTCTGATTCCTGGACCACAGATATCCACCCTGCACTTTTTTTTTTTAAGCATAGTTATTCTATAACTTTGAGTTTATTTTTGTGGTTGGCACCGATCTGGAGATTGACTTGTTGTTCAGGTGACTTATCTGACAATCAGCATCTTCCCCATGATTCTTATGACTGGTCTAAAATCCCAGTGCACATATAATTGTGCACAGAGCTGTACATGTCCCCACCTCACTGAACCTCTGGATCTATCAGAACACATTAAAATGCCACAATTTACATTTCAGGAACGTAAGGGGGAGATCATTTCCAGGCATGGGATCTCTCATGTTCAGACAGTAGTTTTGGCTGCAAATGCTGTTTGGCTCAACTTTTGTTTGGGAAGAATTCATTATTATAGATACCATGTCACGTGACTGTTTGGAACAAAAAAATGTGCTTATCTTCCTTCCTGTGATGTGGAAGAAGATGTGCGAGGTTGTACTGTGAAGTCATTAAGCTCTTAGAAGGCATCTGCCCAAGAGAGTACAGTATTATTGACATTCCTTTCCTTCCTCAAGGCCTGGTTGCATTTTATCCTTTTGCTGTGGGCGGGGCCCAGGCAGAAGTGTGGTCATCCAGGCCTGCAAGCCATACTTGACTTCTACATTGAATTTTGTGTTTTAACTGTGATCTTGGTTCCAAATGCAGAATTGTCACTCTGTTCTCATTAAATGTTCCTGATTTTTAAAATTCTCATTTATAGCTATGTTCCTAATGTTTGTATGTGAATTTTATGTTTAAGAAAGAAATCATTGCAAGAGTAAGATTATTTTAGTGCCATTGTTTTGATTTCTAATAAATATTTATTTTGCCTTGTTATGACTGTTTTATGCTGTGTTGGGTGTGTTAAAATGAAAACTGACTAGAAATCCTTGAGTGCTGCTTAATAGGGATAGGTAAAAGGAAAGCTGACTTTTGGTCCTAAGACATTTTTACTAGTCCTGGCTCAGGGGTGGCACTAGCAGCATGCTTTAAGACATGCCATGTTCAAGCAGCATTTATATCTCAAAGTGTATGCATGTCTGGTACCCTGTTTAAATCACTTGGCAACTTTAGAAGCAGTCTGAGTAAAGGACTTGGAGCCAGATAATAGTGGTTCCAGCTGACACCTAAGACATGCTCTATCCATGCCCTTATGCCATTGGGCTTGGATATTTTAATGGCTCTCAATATTGTGAAAAAATTACCTTCTGCAGTTTAAAACTCTCTCATTCATATTATACTATTTTGTAGGTTTGGTACTGTATCCCAGTTCTGTATATGGGGAAACTAAGACTTGGAAGCAAAAGTCGCAATGCTGTTTTCTAGTCTCGAGTCCAGGTTCGCTGAAGTTCAGTTAAACTTGTATCAAGAGAGACGACTTTGCTCACTGGACCAGACTGCCTCTTTGACAGTAACAGTAAAGTTCTGCAAAGAGAAAGGGATCCAGTGCCGTGCTACAAAAGTGTTTCCTTCCTACTATCCTTTGAGACACAGTGCCAGACTGAAGAGAGTAGAATGGAGTGAATTCCTTGGGAGCCACAGGGAGAACACTTGGTGACAGAGAGGGAAGGAAAAAAGAAGGCAAGGACTCTGGTGGAACGTGCAGACATTTCCATAGAGGAAGGATGTCCAAGCATACTCATTTATTCAACTAGACTTTACTGCGCACTTATGAGATTGCTGTCACCAAAAAGATGCCATTAATGTCTTGAAAAGTGGTATAAAAGGTGAGGAGGTCAAAGGGGCAACCAATTCAGGTAAAGGGAGACCAAGAAGGTTTCTTACACATGAGCTGCATTGCATTTTGAAGGAAACACAGGAATTAAGTAGAGGAGGGTCTGGGACGGGGCAGGTGAATGTAGGTGCAAGGAGAAGTTTCAGGCTGGATGAAGGTGTATAAGAATAAAACAGTGGAAAGGGCACTGGGAGAAGGGAAGGGAGCTGTCTGGAGAGGTTGTGGGGGAGGGAGGGCAGCTCATGAAGTGCCTTTTGTGCTAGGTTTGAAAACTTGAATAATAAGGACAAACTCTGTGCTAGGCACTGAGCTAAGTGCATCCGTGTCTTAGCCTGCTCAATCCTCACCATAACCCACAAGAGAAGCACTATTATTCGGATTGTCCTCATTTTATGACTGAGAGAATCAAATCTGTAGATTGTTAAAGACAAAACTGAAAGCGGCTAAAACCACACAGTGATGCATTACAGATTTTTAAAAACCACACCAAATTAGAAACATTAAAGATTTTATAAAGATTAAGCCAGGGAAAAATTAGACGATAGAAATAATACAAAAACTGAAACCACTGTGACCTGAATTCACATTATATATTTTACAAAAAATTAAAATCTGAGGGAAGAATAAGTTGGTTTTTTTTTTTAAGCCAAAACTTACATTTGGAAAAGCTGACTCAGGGAAGCTGGACTCTGAAAATAAAATGGATCTTCATCATGAGACAAGGGAGTGTAGTAAAACATATAGGAAAGCTGACTGATAAATCAGATTTTTATTATAATGTTTAGAAGGAAAAGTTTATTCTAATAAATATAGAGTATACTATAAATGCTAAAGAAATTAGAAAGTGCTCACTTGTGTCCTATGAAACACTAAAAATGAAAAAAAAACCCACTAAAAATGGAGTGAAATTGATTTAATGCAGTTTGCTCTAGAAGAATGAGAATGTTTGTATGTGAGAGTTCCAGGTAATGTTAGCATTTTTGATAAATACATTTGAAGCCATAAACATGATTTCCTTGGGGCCCAGGTCGTGGGGTCCAGACTGTGGGATAAGAGTGCTTCTTATTTAATGGCTGTGGCCTGAGAGAGGAGGGAGGAGAGCTGGGGAGGTTGGAGAAGGAGCAGGCAGTGTTGAGCCAGAGGTCCTCTAAGGACAAGAATCACAGGAGGCAGGGATGTTCTTTCAAAATGAGAAGTGACAGCTGCAAGCAGTTTGCGTCTTCCAAATTGTCCATGTTGAGAAGAACAGTTAGCTTTTCAAGGGCTGCGTGAGACATCAGAGTTCCTGGATGTTTTCATACACCAACTTTACAACCTCCCCTCATTTCTTTTTCACATTTTGCCTGCAAAAGAGCACTTAAAAATCTCCTACAGATATCACAACTATTGCTAAAATTAATAGTTATTTAATATTGTCACTAATTCAAATATGAAACATAAAAAGATAAGAAGTGTATACCATTAGCTTTTAACTGCATTTATGTTATTTGAAAAGGTACATTTCATTTTATGCCAGGTCAATAACTTTGTATGTTATAGATATATATTATATTGCATGTAATACATATGAGTGTAAAATCTATTTAGAATGTTAAACTACCAAATTGTCATGTACAAAAGCTATATAGAAACAGGAAGCACATTTTCTGAATAAACTACATCCATACAGTACAATACATTTAAAGGAGATTCATTCATTTATTCCCTCTGTAAAGAAACTCTCTCGATGCCTACTGAGTCAGGCACGGTGGTGGAGGTACAGACTCGTAGAGCTTTCCAAGATACGTTACAATCACTGTTGCACTAGCAACAATTTCTAGTGGAAAGAGGAGTGAATGCTTTTCGCACTGAGTGTTAGCTTAGTTGTCTTGGCAAAAGCTTCTTTCTTTTCATAATATGCGGCTTCGTTCACAAACACTGGGTACACGGTGCAGTCTCCACCCAACGGAATAGTCTTTCCATCAAGAGTCACAAACACAGGGTCCCCAGGGTATAATGGTTTCCAGTCTTGATCCTCTCAAGAGACAGTTAAAATAATAATTAAAAAAAATGACACTTTATTTTTTTCCTGCTTCCACAAAGTTTACATCAGGCCCTAAGGGACTAACACAGAGCACTAATGCAGGGCACACTGAGAGACAAGAGACTGACGTGGCCACACTGCAACTCTGCCACTAATTTTGGCAGCACTATGAAGGATTTCGCTTTCATTTTTTAGAGTCCACACAGATAATTAAAGTTTGTTTCAATACCAAGTTTGCCTTGAGTGGTGCCAAGGAGGTTTCTTATGCTAAAAGGTAAAACTAAATTCATGTTGACCTATGTGCACTGCACATTTTACTTCCTGCCAGTGAAAGAGAAATTTTGTTCAGTAAAACTCAGGAAATATCCATTCAGAACCTTCTGTGTGTGAGACATTCTACTGCTGGGGATGTAACAATGAGTCATGATGTACTTTCTGTTTTTTTAAAAAAAATTTTAATTGAATACAGGGTTTCATTATGTAAGCTCAGACTCTGGAGCTGGCACAGCATGTGGTACTGGGGACCGCATGAGCTTGGGCCCTGTGTGTGTGCTTGCCAGGCAGGCGCTTAGATTGCTGAGCTATTTCACAGCCCCATGATATACTTTCATACAAGGAAATTCTTTTCCAATTGGGGCTAGTGAGAGAAGGTGGGTGGGCTTGGGGAAAGTCTAAGATGAAACAGATGTGCTCAAAAGATGAGTAGATGTGTTCACACTAAGATTACAACTGTGCTCTCTGAAAGGTTCCACTTCAGCGGCGTGACCCTTTGAGTCTTCAAGCACCAATACTGTCACAGCACAGAATTCCTGTAACAGTTCTCCAACATGGGTGCACTTGAAAGTCATTTGGGAATTTTGTTAAAATGCAGATTCTCATTTTGTAAGTCAGGTGCAGCCCAAGATCCTGAATTTCTAACATTTCCCAGAAGCATCAGTGTCACCCAAGAGTTTGGTGTGATCAATACCAAGTAAATTAGAGCAGAATTTGCAATCAATTTCTATGTAAGGTTCCTGCCATGGTCCTCTGACTATCTGTAGAATGCCAGTATCTGAATCTTGAAGGGATTAATCAATAATAATAAGAGAAGGAGGAAGAAAAGTCTCTTGGGAGAGTTAAGAGATTTATGGTCCAAAAAGGCAAAGGGAAAAAGGAGGAGTGAAGATTATAAAATCTAAGATGTCTGCTCCCCATTATGAGAACTCTATACATCCTCAGACCTCAGAGAAGAGGAGCTGTGGTAGGTTACCTAGTGTGGGGCTTTCAGCCCTGACCACACATTACTTAGAAAGCTTTAAAAAAATATTAACAGTACCAGGAGTCCACTCTGAGATAATATGATCTCAATTGACTTGTGTAATCATGGTTGAAAACCATGGATCCATTTCAAATCCCTATTTAATGACTCTAATAGTCACTCAGACTCGAAACTTAATAGAGCATCCTGCCCACAAATACACACTTGTAGAATAAATCCTGCTTTATGATTTAACGGGAATCCAGGTAAAAAGAGAAGAAGGAGCCATAGGCAACATTTTAGGGGAAAGATGAAGACTGGGAGAGAGAAAGGAAGGAAGTATTTTACATGACAAAAATATCAAAAATAAAGACACAAGCCAAGGTGATGTCATAACAGGCTAAAATACTGGGGATCTTAAAATACTTTTTTTTGATATAATACTTTTTTGATATATACTTTTTTTGTCATAACAGGCTAAAATACTGGGGATTTTAAAAATACTTTTGGAAGTATAAAAATAATCTTGGGGGAGGCTGAGGTATGAGATTGAGATTAGTAACCAACAAGACTAGTAGTAGGTCCTGAAAGTTTAAGAAAGATAGTTTGTAATTAGACAAAAAAGAATGGTTTGATATTCTGTAGGAGTGATTGATTGGTTGATTATCACAGTATTTAAAAAAAATTTTTATTCATTTTAATGAGAAAAAAAGATAAAATAGCAATGAAAGAGTTTCAGAACAGGTTAGTAGGACTATCTCAGTATTTCTGAATAACTATTCAGCCTGTTCTGAGCCTGAGTTTCAAGACAGGCAAAGCCCTTTGTGAAGCTCGCACACCAGTGAAGTAAATGATATATAAATCAGCTCATTTTGAACTGTTTTAAGTGCTATAAAAGAAATAAAGAGGAAAATATAGCAGAGAGTAATGAAGAGTTCCAGTTAAACGAAGGCATCAGAGACCGGTGTCTTGGAGGTGATGGCACCGAGGCTGGAACTAGAAAGGTGGGATCACTTTCCTCTGTGTCCACATAATCTCCTTGATCAGAAAATTTGGGACACCACTGAGTCATAGGTTGTCACAGCACAGGTTCCCTTCTGTTCTGAGTCCTCACTGACCTTGAAGGGCTAGGGCCACAATGTTGACTGTCCTTGTAGCCCCTCTTTTTCTCTAATTTTTTGGATTGCAGACATGTTGTTAACCCTCCAGAAGAGAAGCTTAATGATATTATTACCCTAAAACATAACAACTGTTGAGCTTAACATCAGTATCTGTCTGAATATCAAATGTCTTAGACATAACATGGAACAGGTATTTTCCATCAATCACTAAATATGCTAAACTTTAAATCTGTACAGAATATGAAAAAAAAAAAGAAAAAAATTTCTGTGTAAAAATATGTAAATGCTTATTCTTATTTTTAAAATTTTTTTAATCTTTTTAATCTTTTTGCTTCATATTCTGGAGAGACTTGAAGCTCAACATATCAATACTTGATGGAAAATACCAGTTCCATGTTATGTCTAAGATGTTTGATAATCAGATAGATGGTGAGGTTAAGCTCAACTGCCTATGTTATAGGGTAATAATGTCATTAAGCTTCTCTTCTGGAGGGTTAACAACTTAAGTTTGCAGACCAAAAATTAAAGAAAAAGAAGGGCTATAAGGACAGCCAACATTTTGGCCCTAGCTTTTCAAGGTCAGTAAGGACTCAGGAAATTGGAGAACCTGTACTGTAGCATCCTGTAACTCAATTGTGTCCCAAATTTTCTGATCAAGGAGAGTATGGGGCCACAGAGAAAAGTGATCGATAACATAGAGTATGCCTAAGGAGAGTCACACGGAGAGAAAACATTCTCTCAAGCTTTCACAGAGAGCAAATTGGTCAAGCAATGGCCATGACTCATCCACATGGCTGACACTGACAAAGGATCTACAAACTGAGGTACAGGGCTTCATGCTAAAATTTAAATCTGTACATAATGTGAAAAAAAAAGATAAAAAAATTCTGTGTAAAAATATATAAATGCTTATTTTTATTTTTTAATTTTTAAAATCTTTTTAATCTTTTTAAAAGATTAAAAAGATAAATCCTGGGGGGATTTGTCTGACCTTATCAGATACAAAAGTTACATTTTTTTTACATAGGTCTTGCTCTTTCTTGGTCTTAACCTTCCAGCAGAAAAGTATGAAAATGAAAAAAAAAAAGAAAAGAAAAGTATGAAAATGAACTATAAAAAGTAGAGCCATATTAATATGCTGAACTGTAAAAGGCTCAAGTCAACAACTTCAGACATTGACAGTCTTATGGAAAACCCACTACTATTATGGACTACTGGACTATATTGGGATATTTTGCTGAGTTCATGTGCCTACAGTATTTAAATGACAATGGAATGCCCTTCTCTGACACAACTAACCAAAAAAGGGGGATACAAATGAATGACCATTTTGTATCTGTATATTCAAAATAGGATAGATATATAGCTCCATTCTCTTAATTCAATGAATAGAGAGGTTTGTTCTAATAGTGTTTGAGACAGGATATCAGGTCTGCATCTTGTACAATGAATAACCACTAAGACAACAATATGCAGTGTATTAATTATTGAAAATGTGCTAGCATTTTGTTGTGAAACTGTCTCATTGCTATTTGGTTCTCAATAAAAATATTTTTAAAAATGCAATTATATTCAGGACATGGATAAATGAAAATCTGTACAGTTTCAAAGTCAGCAGGAAGCCCAGAATTCCTGAACTCTGTTATTAACACAATAGGATTCATGAACCATTGAAATGGGTTCATTAAAGTTTTTAGACAAACTAAATGACAGTAAGATATAGCTGCAAAAAGGCAAAGAAATTCAGAAAATGCATTGACACTCAAAACAATAAGACAGTTACTCTTAAGAAATTTAGTCTGTTGAGTTCACACTGTCCAACACAACAGCTACCAGTTACATATGGCTATTGAGAAAAATATGGGCAGTCTAAAGCAAGTTTGTACTTTAAAGTATAAAATATATGAGATAGGATCAAATATGGTTAATATTTAATTCTTTAAAATTTATTACAGTAATATACACATTGCTATTAATCCCCTTCAAAATACTTCCCTGTCCTTTAAACACACTTTTGATTTCCTTCTTGCACTTTCCAAAGCAATCCTGGAAGTCCTCTTTTATGAATATTTAGTTGTGCAATCTGTTCTCTCGAGGTTGCCTTGATGCCTGAGTTGATTGAAAATAATACCTTTCATGGAAATTCTTTTTTTTTCAATTTATGTATTTGGTACAGGGTTTAACTAGGTAGCTAGGACTTGTAGAGATCCTCCTGGCTCAGCCTCCCCAGCGCTGGGATTACAGATGTGCACCACCATGCCCAGTCTTGGTGGCCAGCTCAGCATATGTGAAGGTAGGGTCCATGCAACACATGGTGCTAGGGTTCGAATCCCCGTCCCTGTGATTGCCTAAGCAGGTGCTTAGTTCACTGAGCTATCTCGCTGGGCCTCATGAAAAGTCTTACTTTGGGGAAGAGCCAAAAGTTGTAAGGCTCCAGATCTGCTTAATAAAGTAGGTGAGAATACACTGTAATTATTTTGCTTGACAGAAAGTAATATAAACAGTTGACCAATGAGGTGTGTTAAAAATATTATAAATAATTGAAGTTAAAAATTTATTAAAGTAAGAAACACACTGCCGTTATTGGTATGTACGAAGTCCCCATGTACTGAAAACATCATGTACTAATAAAAAGTAAACAAAAAAGTAAAAATAAAAAAATAGTACAAAAATACAAATAAACAATTACAAATTTTTACACAGAAATTTGGCTCAAGTCAACAACTTCTGACGTTGCCAGTCATGCAGATAATGCACTGCTCTTATAGACTGCTGGTCTACATTGGATTACTTTGCAGAATTCATGCACCTACAATACATGAATGGCAATGCAATACTCATCTCTGACAAAAGTAAACAAAAAAGGGGGATGTAAATGAAGGACCATTTTGTAGTGAAAAAATATATATTTGCATGTACAAAATAGCATAGATATACAGCTACTTTCTCTTAGTTCAATGAGAAAAGAAAGTTTGAACTAATAGTGTTTAGATAAGATATCATGTCTGTATCATGTACTATGAATAACTACTATAAAGACAACAATATGCAACGTATTAATTATTGTAACCGTCCTACTAATCTGTTTTGATACTGTCTCATTGCTACTTCTTTCTCAACAAAATTAATTAAAAAAAAAAAGATGAGAGTCAGTCACTGAAAAAACAAAGGCAAATTCCCTGGGCTGGAACAAACTTAGAGAGTATGAGAAATAGCAAGAGGAGCAGTGTCAGTGCAGTGTAGGAGCCAGTAGAGAGAGAATGTGGCCCTGGAGCCAGAGACACTAGCAGGGACCTGGCCCCCCATCTAGATTTTGTCCTAAGGGTTGTGGTTCTTTATCAGGGATGCTCATTGGAATTACCTAAGGAATTTTTTCCCCAAATTTCTGGAGTCCAAAACAAACTTACAAAATCAGTGCTTCCTAAACTCAGGCCATGTGAAAACTACCCAAGGAGCATTTAAAAAAATTCCAATTCTCAGGTCCCATCCCTAGATGGTTCCAGCATATACACAGCAGCAGGTTGGAACTCCAGGCATGACTGACAGTGCCCGTGGTAGGTCCTAGCAAAGCCAGACGGGTAACAATGACCCAACAGTCCAGGACTGGGAGAAGCTCACTCTGCACAGTTGGCTCTCATCCTCAGCTGCATCTGAGAGACTGTACTGGGCCTGAACCCCATCCTGCCTGTTCTGATTTAGCTGTCTTGAGGTAAAATCTGAGAAATAGCCATTTTATAGACTCTTCAGGTAATTCTAGTGAAGACTGGGGTTAAGAGTCACTGTAAAAAAGCGTCATCATTTGCTAGTTCCAGAACAAAAAATGTTTGCCCTATTGTTTAGTAAAGAAAAAGTTAAAATTCAGAGATTTTTTAAAAGATCAAAAGTAGGAGTGAGTAGGGGGGCATACATGTTTGAACTGGGAACCTCTTGATCTGCTGTCAATTGTTCTACCTTGGTAATTAATGTCTTCACACACTTAGACCACTTGTAACCTGTAAGCTCCCACTTCAGGATGGGAGCTCAAAAGGCTCGTGTCTCCGCAATAGATATCTTTAATGATGACTGATTGTGATTAACTCTCTCACACACCCTCAGCCTTCTTCCAGTCTCCCCCTCCAGGTTGTGCTTGTTTTGTTAGCACAGCCTCAGCCCCAGCCCCAAATTTAACTTTCCAGTTAGGAATCCGAGGATTCAGAAATGCAGCTCCTCTTTCAGGGCCCAGCTCCAACCTACATCAGGCACCACTGCTCCTTGGTGGGACAGTGGTGGGGTGTAGGAGGGTGAAAGCAAGAAGGGGGTGCAAGGAGATGGGATGGACTCTCCATCAGGCAGCAATATGCATACCATGTGTGTGGTACTAGAGGTGGGGCATTCCAAGTCAAGCTGTTGATCACAGGGAGGTGGCATCAATGTGCTAGCTGCAAAGAACATTAGTTCTGGATCTGTTATTAATACCTATGTGGATATAACACAGCTGTAAATTGCTGAGCCTCCACTTTCTATCTTTCTTTCTTTTTTTGGTGGAACAGGTGATTGAACTCAGGCCCTTGCGCTTGCCAAGGAAGCACTTATTCCACTGAGCCATCTCCCCGGCCCCTCCACTTTCTTATGTTAAAATAGACATAATAATTCTTACTCAGTGCTCATGGGTAGGACTTTCACTTTTCAGAGCCTCCTTGTCTATCTTTCTCCCACCTCATTTAAAATATATATTTGGTTGTTACAGGGTCTCACTATCCTTCTTTCAGCCTCCCCAGTGCTGGGATTACAAGCATGCGCTACTACATGGGGGCTTTGGTCAGCTCAGCCTGCCCTGGGCGAGGGGCTGTCGTGGCATGTGGTGTTGGAGATCAAACCATGGTCCCTGCACTTGCCTAAGCAGGAGCTTTGGTCCACTGAGCTAGCTCCCTGGCCCCCACCTCATTATTCTGTTATACTATCTGGCTATCTACATTTCTAGACTGTTGCTGAGACTTCAGTATATCTAGACCAGCAATGGTGAACCTTTTTGAGACCAAGTGCCAAAACTGCAACCCCAAACCCACTTATTTACTCCAAGGTGGCAACACTGAAATTAAACCTGAACACTGAAGATTTAGTTTAGAAAAACCAGATATTATCCGATGCACAACTTCTGAGGTGATCTGACTCATGTGGCAACAGATCGGGTTCTAGGTGCCTGCTTCAGCAGGCATGTCATAGGCTCCTCATCACTGATCTAGATTGTAAATTCAGTGAGACTAGAGATGGTGGTCATGGATATAACCCCAGAGCCATCACAGATTATTGAGCAAAGCTCTGAGTTTATTTCTGCTATAGTTTGAATATGACTAATGTCATCCAAAGGTCTATGTGCTAAAGGTTTGATCTTCCTGTGATGCTACAGTAAAGTGCTATGGACCTTGAGGAGATGGGACATTGTGAGAGGTCATTAGGTCACTGAGAATGTGCCTTTGAACAGGACTTTGGATCCAAGCCACTGAAGTCGCACTCTGCTTTCTGGATGCTAATATGAGCAGCTGTTTCACCACAAACTCCTCACCATTGTGATCCAGTGTTAACACCAGAGGTGAAAGCAACTGGACCACCTGATCTTGGACTGGAATTTCCATAATGATGAGCTAAATAAACCTTTTATTTTTGTAAGTCAATTGCCTCAGGTATTTTGTTATAGTAATGGAAAGCTGATTAATGCATTTCCCTACACCACAGTGGGTTTTTATTTTTATGTATTTGGTACAGGGTCTACAGAGTCTACAGGGTCTCACTACATAGATCAGATTCATAGTGATTCTGCTGTTTTCAGCCTCCCAAGGACTGGGATGACAGGCGCGTGCCACTGTGCCCTGTCTCAATCACCATCTCTGTGCACCCTGGGGGCAGGGCTGGCACTGCACGCTGTGCTGGGGATTGAACGCTGGATGCTGTATAAGCAGGTGCCTTAGTCCGCTGAGCTATCTGGCTAGCCCTAACAGAGTGTATTTGGGAAATAAAAATTACCTAGTATATGTAAAGTGCTATATGAACTATCAAACTCAACAGCAGGATAGTATGATTCAAAATTTTAAGGAAATAGCAAAAATTACCTGCAGATTAGGATGAATAATAGCAATAATTTCTCCATTTTCATTCCTGGGAAAATCAACTTTCTCCATTATTTTATAGGCCTCAATAGTGCAGGGAGGAAATTCTTTTCCTATGATGAAATAATATATTGCAAGATCAACTACAAAAAGTTGATACTTTAAAGGAAAAAGAACAACAGAAATAAAGACAACGATAAAGAGAACAAACCAAGTTTTGTTAAGGATGTTCATGAACAACACAAGGCCAAAAGATGTTCTTGAATTATTCCTAATACCACCCTTTCCACAAATACCCCATTGGGTGACAGAAATGGAAAACAGAATTTAAAAAGGACACTGTGAGCAAAAAAGAGCTTATGACTAAATCAGGGCCCCCAGGTGCTGTTCTAGTTGTGTCATCTTCTTATTTTTTCGTAGTTATATAATTTTGAGCAATATGCTTAACTTCTGGAGGCTTGTTTTCATTTCTGTCAAGTGAAGATTCTGGATTAGCTTAGCTTGGAGCACCCTCCCAGTTCTGATTGTCAGGACTGTACATTCAGGAGGACTTCCTGCAAGGTGGGTGGCTTCAGTCTAGTGGCTTTTCCTTCTCACTATGTGCATCAAATAGTCCAACAGCTCCTGAGCAGTGAGCCTTTGAGATGTGGGCTGTCAGGCAGGAGGGGAGTCCAACTTCCAAAGAAAGACATGATAACATCATCAGCTCAGCACCCAGAGACATAGAAAAGGCACAGTCTACATATACATCAGACCACCTCTGAGCAAAAAGGATGAATCTAGGTCCAATGGACGGCCATTGTGAGCAGCTCAAAGGGAAGTCTTCTTTTGCCTTTAGTGCAGAGACAGGATGATGAAGGAGACCAGGTAATACTTATGACCAGCTAGTTTTCACTATGTAGCACATTACCCCAAAGTTTAGCAGCTTATTTTCTTATTTTTATTTATTTATTTATTTATTTGTTTGTTTGTTTATTTTTTTGCGGAACCAGGGATTGAACTCAGGCCCTTGCACTTGCCAGGGAAGCGCTTATTCCACTGAGCCATCTCCCCAGCCCCTAGCAGTTTATTTTTGTATTTATTTTTATTTTAATTTATTTATTTTTATGTATTTTAGTACAGAGTCTACAGGGTCTCACACAGATCAGATTGGTAGTGATTCACTTGTTTACAGCCTCCCAAGCGCTGGGAGTACTGGTTCACCTCACCACACCCAGTCTCAATTACCATCTCAGCAACCACCGGGGCTGAGGCCTGCACGGCAGGCCAGGGATCGAATCCGGTCACTGGGCTCTGCTGAAGCAGTTGCTTTAGTCCACTAAACTATCAGGCCAGCTCTAGCTTAGCAGCTTAAAACAACCGCCCATTATTTTAGCTCATGATTCTGTGTTGTTTGGCAGTTTCTCAGTTGCTTTTTTATGACAGCCTTGCTCTTGTGTTTGGAGTGAGCCATCAGACCAGCTGAAGGCTGGTGATTTGAGATGGCCTCACTCTTATGTCCGGTGTTTGACAATGCTGGCTGCATGGGGGTGTCTTAGCTGTCTGTCTGTCTGTCTGTCTGTCTGTCTGTCTGTCTATCTATCTATCTATCTATCTATCTATCTATCTATCTATCTATGACTTTTCATTATCTGACAGATTAGTGTGGGCTGATTCCTGTAATGGCCATACATAGTTTTTAAGAGCTGCAAAAGAGCAAGTTTCAATGTGAAAGTTTTTTCAAAGCTCTTCCATGGCATAAAAACAAGTCATATGACCAAATCAAATTCACAGGGTGAGGAAGCACTCCCTGACTGAGGCAGAGATTTTCTATTTTCCATTTTCTTTGCATTATACAGGGAGTTGAGGTGTACTGGACAACCATTACGGAAATCACTATGGAGATTTCTCAAGGAATTGAAATTAGAGGCCAAGTGTGATGGCACATGCCTGTATTCCTGGCACTCAGGAGGCTGAAGCAGAAGGATCACCAGCCTGGGCAACAAAGTGAGTTCCAGGCCAGCCTGAACTACATAGTGAAACCCTGTCTCAAAAAGATAAGAAAAGAAAATGATTGAAATTAGAAATTTCATATCACCCAGCTGTGTCCCAGATATCTTCCCCAAAGAGCTCAAGTCATCCTGCTACAACGATACAAACATGACAATGTTTATGGCAGCACAATTGCTAATAGCTAAACCCTGGAAACAGCCTGCATACCCATCAATGGATGATTAGATTAAAAAATGTGGTATTATCTAGATAGAATACCACTCAGCTATAAAGAATGACAGTTGTAGGAAAATGGATGCAGCTGGAAAATACAGTATTGAGTAAAATACAAACTAGACATACAGCTCAAATACCACATGGTATCTCTTGTCTGAGTGAGGGAAATACAAACTAAGAAAATGATGAAGGATGGATAGAAAGGGACAAGGGATGGATCTCTTGGAGTTGGAAGCGGTTCAAGGGTGAGGACTGAAGAGGAGAGGAAAAGGAAGTAAGTGTACAGGAACCTAATAACCCAAATTAATGTAAATACTACATGTCATAAGATGAGCTAAGATTAATGATATCAACAAGAATGAAAAATGGCATAGAGAAATAGGATGGGTAGGAGAAGATAGGAGAAGGTTAAAAAGGAGAGAAATACACTGTAATATGTACATACAACCATTCCCCAAAATGACTGTACACCATATAAACAGCACATGTGAAAGAAAAACAAAAAAACTTAAAGAAATAAAACCTCCAAGAAATTAGAAAATAACAAAGAGGTACACTGGAGATACCCTCCCCACTCCTATGGTAGGAATCCATGGACCATGACTTGTAAATTATGTTTCGGTGAATATGGGACTTTATAACTAGATGTATTATTTCTTACTGTATTGTAGTTATGCACTTACTATTTAAGGATTTCTTGTAAGTATGTTGTTTATCAGTTCTTTTAGACAGAGTAGAACCTGTCCTCAGGCCAAGGGTAGTCAACAGTTTATTCTCAGGTTTAATGGCTTTGGAATCAAAGGATTGCTGAGCACAAAAGAAGTTCCTGTCTTTGTGGGAGTGTGTACAACCCAAGGGTGAGGAGTTATTCTCTCCACTGACACTGAACTGCACCCTGGTCATGTTGCTATTGTTACTCATTTCTCAACGATTTGTGGATTGCCTATTGGAGTTATTATATTTACATAGGATTTCACTTGGAGTTTTCTTTTTTCTTTTTATGTAGTTAGTACAGGGTTTACACAGTCTCACTATAAAGATCAGACTCCTGAAACATACAAAGATGTTTTCAGCATCCCGAGCACTGGGATTATAGGCGCACACTACCACACCCAGTCTCAATCCCGTCTCAGTGCGCTCTAGGGGTGGATCCAACCCCAGCCCTGTGTCTGCCTAAGCAGATGCTTTTAATCCTCTGAGTTTTGGATTTCATTTTAAATATTTTTTCAAATTTAAAACAAACTTATTATAATTAATGGACCTTAATTTTTAGTTTTCTCTCTCTCTCTCTCTCTCTCTCTCTCTCTCTCTCTCTTTCTTTTTTGACACCAGGGATCAAACCCAGGACTTTGTGCTTGCCAGGCAAGTGCTTACACCACTGAGCTATCTCCCCAGCTTTAGTACTTTTTAGATTTACTGAATAAGTGAACACTCATATATAGAGTTCCATAGCCTACCTTTCCATCAGTTTCCGTGTATTTAATTGTTAGTTACATAAATAATACACGAATATATTGTTCTTATTATCAGTTATTATTTTGTTGTGCTTTAAGTATTCTAGCAAGTGATTATTATTTTAAAATAAATTTGTATGCTGTATGTTTTGGTGTGAAATTTGCTTTCTTTTAGTTAACAATATGTTCAAAAGATTCTTTTATTGTTGGTGTATTTATCTGTTTACAATTGGATATTTGGGTCCTTTCCATTGTTTTTGCATTATAAACAAAGCAGCACTAACCACCCTTGCAAACGACATATTGGGCGGGCATGAGATGTGGAACTGCTGGGTCATAAGATCTGTGTATTTTGAGAAGCAGATATTATAAAATTAACCTCTAAAATATCTTTATAAATTTACTTGCTCCCTAGTGGTGAGTAAGACTATCCTGTTTTTCTATATCTTTACTAAAATTTAGTATTATTACATTTTAATGTTGTTTTCTCAATATAATGGAGGAAAATGGCTTCTCATTTTAATTTATGTTTCTCTGATTACCTGTGATGGTGAACATCTTTCTTAGTTTCTCTCTCGCTCTCTCTTTTTTTTTTTTCTTTTTGTCTTTTTGAGACAGGGTCTTGCTATGCAGTTCCGGCTGGCCTTGAGCTCACTTTGTAGCAAAGGCTGGTCTCGAACTTGCAGTGATGCCCTTGCCTCAGCCTTCCAAGTACTTTTCTTAGGTTTACTGAACATCTGTATTTCCTAGTCTTTCTTTGCTCTTTAAAATGGAAATTATTAGGGAAATAAGGATTTGATTTGGGAACTTTATTTGTATTTATCTATATTTCTAGAATATGTCTATTCTTGATATGGAAGAATTCCTGAAGCGAATAAAAGTTTTAAAAAGCATTTAAGATTCTGAACCTGACAAATATGACCAGAAGTCCAGTAGCTCTTTCAGTATTTAGTGTTTAAGTTTTATGCACACACACACACACACACACACAGTTACACATTCATGCACATATTTAGAATTAAAGAAGCAGTTTCCACTTGCCACTTACCTTCATTGAAATGATATATGAAATCAAGAGCATGTTTAATCATTTTTCTCATTTGATCCAAAATATCAGCTCTCAGAACACCTTGGGGTTGGGGGCCCACTTCTATTCCTAGGTACAGAAAGGGAGACAGTGATATTTATATAAATATTTGAAAATATTGTGGATTTAAGCGTTTTAATATCAAGATATAGAATCTCATTATTAAAAGTTACTTAAAAGGCAGCATCATTTAGCACCAAGGAAAATATCTGAATCATAATTTGAGTAACATAAAGGAGAACATTGATATGTCTTCTTATCTTTTTTTTTAACATTTGTTGTGCTTAGCTTTCTTGGGCATATGTGCAGACATTTCTTTAAATATATGGTCTCACAAGAATGGCTAAGGTATGTACCTTTGCATAAATGACCTATACAAATGTACAAAACGTAATGTTCATGGGTATGTTTCCATGTGTATTGTAGATGTTGTTAGCTTACCACAAATCATTCCACCTTCCACACTTCTAATGGAATCATAACTTTGGTTGGTATCTGTTATGGTTTGTGTGTAGGTGTTCCCCCAAAGCCTCATGCAGTCATGGGGGGGGGCTTTTGGAGTTTGTGATTGATTATTGTGGGTGTGGATGCTGCACCTGCCCTGGGGCAGGTAATTTGCATTACAATGTGAGGAGGCCAGGGAGACTAGCTAGCTTCCTGGGCTGCTGCCACTCCCCTTTGCTCTCTCCTGTTTGCTGAAGCCATAAAAGGTTGCTCTGCCATGTGCCACTCTGTCTTGGAGCCAGTCGAGTATGGACTGAAACCTCCAGTAACTGTGAGCTACATAAACCTTTCCTTCCTTCATTTTGGGTGTCCCGTATTTATCCCAGCAGTGAGAGAAGAGAAACTGAAACAGAACTAATATTTATGGTAAATGAACTTTTCTTCAGTCAAAGAGTAAAGAAGGGATAGTTTAAGTCATGCACTGTAATTTTAAAACCTTAGTGACTGATTGAAGAATGGATCTGTGGTCAAGTTCTGACAAAATAGTCTGAATAAAAAATCTGCAGGGGAGTTCCTCAGAGTCCCTTTTCTTCCATGAGATATTTTCACATTGGCATATGATATTCAGAGCTACAGTGGATGTCTTGGGACACTTGCGGTCAGCTGATGACATGTTAAAGATGATAAACCACAAAGGTACAAAGAACCTGGTCTCTCACGATGTTGTTAAGCTGTTATGTAAAACAACATCTATATTACTGCTTAAGCCTTTTTGGGTTACCTGAAGCCAAAAGCATTCTTGTCTTTGAGGGAGATGGAAGGTGTGGTTGATCAGTCCTACATGGAGAGGGGAAAGCTATGGACTGGTAGGAGTGGGGGTTTCACCAAGAAAGGCCAGTTATTAAAGCTAATTAAAAAAAAAACCCAACAGGTTGAGAGGTCATTTATACAAAATGAAAATTTAACTCCTTAACAAAATTTCCCGTAAGAGGGCCAGCCAAATAGCTTAGTGGATTAACGTGCCTGTTTAGGCAGATGCAGCGCCTGGGGTTTGATCCCTAGTGTGCCATACTGCCTCCCCTCACGGAGCGGGGGGGGGGGGGGGCTCGCTGAGATGACAATTGAGACCAGGCATAGTGGCGTGCCCCTGTAATCCCAGCTCTTGAGAGGCTGAACACAGGTGGATCACTACGAGTCCGATCTACATAGTGAGATCCTGCAGACCCTGAGGACCCTGTACTAAATACATTAAAAAAAATCATAGACCAAGCTTGATTTTTCATTTTAAAGTTTAGAAGCCTTTTATTTGGTGTAAAAGAGAAACATGATCTCTATCTCCTATTGTTGTTGTTGTTGTTGCTATTATTATTATTATTATTATTATTATTATTATTGTTATCTGATGGTCCTGGGGGGTTGAACCAAAGACCTCACTCATACAGGCAAGTGCTTTACCACTGTGCTACACCCTTAGCCCTATCTCCTATGAGTAAGGCTTTAGTTTACCAATTACATACCTGTATTTAAATATGTAACTGTCTCTTATTGTGACTGATTAATTCTCTTAATTATGTACCAAAAGTGTCAATACTTGAGTCAGCTGAATAATTTTTAAAATTTTAATTTTATTTGCCAAATTCTTCTTAAATTACCTCCAGCTTACCACCTGAGCTCAAAGCAAAAGATTTTAAGTTGCAATAATTTTAATTATAGTGTTGTCTGCAAATAATTAATTATGGTAATAGATGTCTCAGGAAAGAGAATAGAATTACCCCCACTATGGTCACTTATCACTTTGTGCAGTAATTACCTGGTTACTTGTCTATCTTCTTATTAGATATTAAGCTTTTTGAGGAAAGATGGTGTGCTGTGTTCAGTATTGTATCCTCAGCACCCAGCATGGTGTTATAGTAGACACACAATGAATATCTATTGAATGCATACATTTTTGGAGTAATTAATTCTGTAGAGAAGATATTTCACTACATCTTGTAGAAGGGGATATTTCACTTGGGTCTTGGGAATGAGAAGAATTTCTCAGACCAATTTCAAGGGCCAAATATCACAGAAAGGGAAATTAAAAGAACAGAACCATAGCTGCCTAGGAAAATTGAGGAAATTAGGAATGGAGTCTGCCTGAGGTGAATTTTCTTAAGTTATACATCTTAATTGTAGGCAGAATAGCTCAGGTTCAGCTTAGGTGTATTTTATTCATTTACAACAGCAAATAGGACTTACCTACAGGATACCTGGCTATAGAACGAGTGGTTGCGTATTTGTGGGAAGGATGCTCAATAAGATAAACATAGCAGGGCAATGGAGCCAAATAAGTCTGAAAAGAATTAAAACTTTTTTATTATGCAAGGATGTTATATTTTGTTCTCTTTTCTACTACATAGTCAGCAGTACCTTGCTTATGTTGTACTTCATCAACTAAGATTAGTCAGACAGTTTTATGAAATACATTATAAAATTTAATATTATTATAGCTTTGAGAACACACAAATAAATCATATTTAAAATTGAATTATATGTAGATTTCTGGGCAAAATGTACATTACACCATGCTCTAGAATCATGGCCAAAGAATATGAAATACATTTTTCTCCTGAATGAATTTGATTGTTTTTGGTTTTTATCATTGGTTAGACTTTTTATTTAGCTTAGTATTGGTTTCTGAAGGAATTCTGATTTTGCTCCTGTGGTCTAGCTCTGTAAAGATGCTGGGTGATTTCCCCCTCCTTCTGCTTATTTGAATGAGAATCTGAGTCAGTTCTGGTTTTGGCAGCTATCAGCCCAGCTGCTATCTTGCAAACAAACCATTCAGCCTTTCTTCAGTGAGCAACAAAGAGCAGTTATGTTACGATCTCCCTAAAACCCTTCTCTAGTTACTGTCAAAAGCTCAGTGAAAAAGTTAACAGCTAATAATTACCATAGGCTCAGTATTCAGTTAAACATTTTCATGACATTATACATCATTGAAGGCTTTTAGTTGCCATTGGGAGTTAAGTGTTATTACTTTGCTGATTTTATAAAGTGAAGGAAGCTAAATTTTGAGATCAGACTCTTGTCCAAAGTTTGTGAGAGTCAGGATTTAAATTCAGGTTTTCTTGTCTACATGAGTGAAATTTTTCCCATTCAATCATACTAGTTCTGAGGAAGACTATCTACCATATAGAATTAACACACAATTCACTATTTGTGTTTTTGCTTGGTTGTTGTTTTTTTTAACAAGTGTTCTCTAGCTAAAAGCATTGGGTTGCCAAACTTTTCATTTTCCGTATTCCTTAGCCTTAAAATGTGTATTTATATGAAGTGTTGAATGTGTGTTGGGGTGTCTGAATCAAATAGCAGCAAGGGCAGGACCAAAGGGAGCCAGTCTGTTTACCATCAACATCAAATAACTTCAGCTTCCTAATCCCCAAAATTGAGATACTTTAACCATACATTTATGTTTTTGATATTAGCTTTATTTGCTATTTCTAATCAGCTAATGATTTGGTCGCTACTAGGGTAAAATTTATAATTTTATACACACAAGGATTCATAAGTGTTTTGAGTCAGAAGTGCCTTCCATATACTGTACTTCATCAACTCAGATTAGTCAGACAGTTATGAAATACATTATAAAATTTTGATTTATTGTATTTATCACTTTCCATATTTCCCCTCTCTTTGTCCAGCTTGTTACAAGAACCTCTGCATTTTGGTACACTCCCCACCTCTCACTCCCGGATCCCTCGGCCCGGATTTGGAATGGATCCCATTTCTCTTAGATTTTTCTTCCTTACTCTTTTCCCCATTGTTTCATATTTATGAGTGACCTAAAAGTACAGATCCTGTGCTCACTAGTAAATTAATAACACTGAAGTTACCTTAATATAATGAAACATCTGAATTAAAAAGTCATTCTTGGAATCTTCAAGAATAAGAGTGCACCCCATGTTAGAAGTAGTATTGTGAAGGTCAAAAATGATGTCATAGGACCCTTTGCTATCTTTTGGACCAAATAAATGATTTATTTCTTGAGCCCTTCTCACTTCGTATGGTAGATCTTCTGATATCTTCTTGCTGTTATTAGCAGAAAGAAAAAAATAACTTCTGAGACTAAGATAACATAAATATACAACAAGAATACAGTGTATAAAAAACCAGTTCCCAAACCTTTATATGAAAAATTTGTGAGGGAAGTTAAAACCTGTCTGAAGCCATTATAAGAGGAAAAACCATGCTTTCTTGATTTGATTCTGTGTAACAAATGTTACATTGGCATGCGTGCAAAGCAAGTTGTCTTATGTTACTTGTCATGGGTGGAATATTTTAAACAAAATTTATCATTTGACTTCAACTTTGAACAAAATTTATCCGCCGATTTTGCAGTTTCTTAGTAGTCACAGCATGCTCGCTCGTTACCTATTCTGGGGATAGGCCAGTGAGGATGAATCCTTGAGAGACTAAGTGCCAAACTACAAGCCAAATTCACTTGTTTATTTCAGTGTGCCAACACTGCAGTTAAATCTAAATACTGAGGTTCTATTAGAAAAATCAGCTCATACACGAATATCTTTTGTCTGAAAAAGCAAGGGCACATGTGCCATGTGCTCACCACCACTGTACTGCGCCATTCAACACACCTTATCCCTCTCACTGTAGCTAATTCTACTCCAGAAAAAAGTCAAAATTAAGTGCTCCCATCATCTCAGTTATGATTTTTAATTCAGAGATAGGAACTACCAGGGTGCCAAGGATAAGGTTTATAGATGAGTGTCTATAAATCTTCCAAAAATACAAAATGTGGTAAGTAGTATAAACGTAGATGTATATTTTTTGTGAGGGTTTATGGATTAATGGTTTTTATTGTATCTTCAAATTGTAGCAGAAAATGCCCTTCCCGCCCCCATCATTATATTTCAGTCTGCTCCTTTTCCAGTTCCATTTGCTCCTGTTAGAAATGGCTGGTCACTATGATGCACATTGTACAGACCAATCCCCAGCTGAGAAGCCATCCTGCCCCTCTGTTTTCTGCTTGCTTGTCTCATGTAAGCTCTAGAAAACCAGAGGTCAGGGCCTGATATTCTGGGAATGATCCTGATCAGTGCCCATTGACATAAATAACTCTGCCTCCAAATCCTGGGTGTTGTTTCAGTGTTTCTGTTTATTGCAAAAACAAGTTCTACTCTCTTCTCATTTCCTGCAATGATTAGGATACATTTCTTTTCTTCTGTACCTGATAATGGTTTAATTTATTTTCCTTCATTAAGCCACACAAATGTATTTTATAATAATGCCACCAACTTTTATTCCCTGGCTATTTTTTTTAAAAAATGTATTTTAAAGAGAAAGAAAAGCAATGAAAACAATGATACAAAGTTTCAAAACAACAGGAGGGTAAGAATGGTTAATATATTGCGCACTGCTATCTTTGAAGTAGCCACTCAGATGATAGGGGAAAGTCATAAAAAAAAAACTAATCAAATAATCTAAGCACAGTATATTCAAGGGACCTGAAGTTTGTACCTGAAAATTTCCTTCCTGGAAAGCAACCAACAAGGCAGAGCAGCCACTCTGTGACTATGAAGCAAAAACCATGAAGATAAAAAGGTGCATGTGAGAAGAGCACAGTGGGGAGACGGGAGACTGTGCAGCAGCCCTGGACTGCCTACCTTTGGACTTACTTCTTATGAACAAGAAATTGCCATTTATTCTTGAATTTCTATTACATGCAACCAAATATATATATTTTACAAGTTGATTCATGCAGTATGAAGGTGCTCCTAATTCTAGCTGTTTCTGTATCATTGTATCCTCTTTGGGTAATGGAACCACTATCCACTTAGCTGCTCAGATTCAAGATTTGGAGTTTTAAAAAACTGACATTGAGCAGACATTGAGTTCCTGTGCCTGGAGGCTAAGTCCCACTGGAAGATTCTCGGGACAAGGCAGAAAGAACAGACAGGGCAAGGGCCTGAAAGCATGATCAGTTGTACTAACTGCTTAGATTTCTCCTCCTCCTCTTCCTCCTCCTCCTCCTCTTCTTCCTCCTTTTCTTCCTCCTCCTCCTCCTTCTCTTCGTCCTTCTCCTCTTCTTCTTCTACCTGTATTTAGTACAGAGACTACAGGGTCTCACTATACAGATGGGACTTGTAGTGATTCTCCTGTTTTCAGCCTGGGATTACAGGTGCATGCCACCACACCCAGTCTCAATTGCCCTCTCAGTGCACCCTGGGGGCGGGGCCAGCAGGCAAGCCGGGGATGACCTTGGTCCCTGTGCCCGTCTCAGCAGGTGCTTTTTAGTCTGCTGAGCTATCTTTTTTTTTTTTTTTTTTTTTAATTTTAGGGAAGGGCCTACAGGGTATTCAAGTTCTCACTACTAGATCAGACTCATAGTGATCCACCTGTTTACGGCTTCGCAAGAGCTGGGATTACAGATCCACGCCACCACGCCCAGTCTCAATTGCTGTCTCAGCATGCCCCAGGGGTGGTGCCAGCATGGCAGGCCTAGGGACTGAACCACTGGCCCCTATGCCTGCTTGCAGGTGCTTTAATCCGCTGAGCTATTTGGCTGGCCCTCGTAGATTTATTCTTGATAGGAGATTTAAAAAGAATTTTCAGTAGGACAAAGCCATACTGTTTGCATGTTAGGATGATCCCTATGGTCACCATACAGAGAAACTATGGCAGGAAGGTTTGTAATAAGACTGGGTGCAGAAGTATCCACACAAGAAATAAACTAAGGTAGTGAACAGGAGGAGAAAGACTGAGTTTGCAAAGTTATTAAAAATAGCGGGAAGACATAGTAACCCAATAGACATGGGAGGATGAAGGTGACAGGAGAAGGTTCTAAGGTGACTTTCATAAGTACTCTGGTGGGTAATGATGTCATAACTAAGATCAAGAATACAGGAAAGAGGGCTGGCCAGATTGTTCAGCGGACTAAAGTGCCTGCTTAGGGAGAGCACAGTGGCTGGGGTTCAACCACCCGCATGCCGTGCTGGCCCTGTTCCTGGAGTGCGCTGAGATGATGATTGAGCCTGGGCATGGTGATGCATGCCTGTGATCCCAGTGCTTGG